AAGTTTAGGCTCCCACCACCCAACTTCTTTACCACATCCTTGTCAACTATGCAATGTATAAACCTGCAAATGATCGTGCAAAGCCAGTGCCTTCCATCCCACAAGTGTTCAATCACATACTTTGCACAAGTCGGGCCCTCATTCACCTTCTCTGCATATGCAGTCTTTCCATAGCGCTTTTCAAGAAAGTCTTTCACAACTGCCCTGGTGCTGATCGTGTCAAAATCGCTTTGACAATCCGAAGAAATCTCAGATTTCATTTGCTTGAAAAATGCTCGGATTTGACCCAAGGCCACTCCCCGTCGTTCGATGGGATGAATCTGACAAAGACCCGCGTCCACTTCTTCGACTACACATGCAGCTGCTTTCACCTTGGTGCGGACCATTCGATTCCTTGGGTCGCTTGGAAGGCGAAAACCATTTCCCTGAGCTTCACCACAAATCACTCAGAGGGGGGGAACATAAGAAAGCACTCAGCAAAACCAGGATTCAAGTTGGCAAAGACCTCTGCATAAGTCTTGAACAGTGTTGCCTCATGCCGGTACTCCGGTTGGCCATCAGCGCGAAGAAGCTCTGGTTCAGTCACTTCACAGTCCAGCACCTTCCAGCAACCGCCTTCCAAAACCAGGTCGCCATTGGCATCCTTCAGCAGTCCTTCTTTCTCTCCTGCCGCGCTTGGTGTCGTGAAGACAGATCTTGGTATCTCCAGGACATGGTACTTTCCGAACCCAAGTCCACTGGCCTTACACATACATGTCCAACCCCAACACATTGTATACTGTAGTATCTGCTCCAAAACCGCTGTCACATGAGTCACAAATCCATCTACTTAGATCCACAAGGGAAGCAAAGCTTCACCACAACTTCTGGACATTTCCTATAGCATTTCCTCCACCATCTCTTCCTTCGCTCAAATCACTCGATGATACTCGATGCCTGACCCGAAACCAAGCCGAACACTAAGAATCCAGACCCTCAAATGGGTTTTGGGTTTGGGTTTTGAGGGACAAGTGCACGCAAGTGCTCGAACTCCTACCACTCGTTGCATCCTCCCCTTCAGAAGGGGGCTGGGGGGGGTTGGCTCCCATATACACTTGCGTGACACGTTGACAAATACCTAGTTCCAACTATGCAGAGTTTCTGCCTTTTGGCTGGTTTCATGGATGAAAAGGCAGAAATTCTGCATAGTTGAAAGTCCAGGCGTATATCTGCCCATCTGCCCATTCCTCGTACGGGTCCCTCCGCTCCTGCAGGATTCGCTAAGTAATTGAGAATCTGCCGCCGGTCGCTGGGTTGCGAGGCCTCACACCGCATCACATCCCAGTTTCCGATCGCCTCCACCTCAGCAAATTCCAGACTGGCCGATTCGAAATAGTGCTGCTGGCTATTGCTGTTCTTAAGGCACACTGTTGGGGGCGTTCTGGCCGAACACGTTGGTTCGGGCGGGTCACGGCCCGAGAATGAACCCTATGGCAAGTGGTTCATGTAGGCTCCAATCGTTCCTGCTGGCACAAGTGCTTCCTCTTTCGCACCTTTTTTTCTTGTCACTAGCATACATGGATGTTTGAACATGCTTCCTGCAGACTGCAGGCAAGCACTTGCGGCCCACAAGCTTCACAAGCTCCAAAAACGTGCGGCCACGTGGCTAAAGGTCCGGAGGTGACTAACTCTGAACCAATCCGCCCGCTGGGTGTGTACACCTGCAAATCCTTTGCCAGCTTGTCGGTAAAGTGTAGTTCCAGGCCACACCAAATCCTTGTCAGTGCGCCAGCCTCTCTGTCTACCACTAGGACCGTCGCTTCAGCCATCGAGATCGCGCGGAAGAAGGGGCTTTCTTCCAGGGCCGGTCCAAAGTTCTCTCCAAATTGTGAGTTGGCAAAGGTGCAAACCCAAATATTGGCCGAAGAGCTGCATCCCTTGTCAACCACAACCTCAAAACGAATCTGGGATCGAATGTCTTTTGCACGACTGGCTACTCGACCTTCAGAACCCAGGATTTGATCGTTTTTTTCTAAATACCTGCATCCTCCAACAGGCCTCCTTCGGAGGGTTGTTAAGGCCCTCTTCGATTGAAGATCTGTTGGGAGGTGCTGGTGTAGGATTCACCCAAATTGATCCAAATTGTACATTTGTTTCTTTCTTGGCCGAAACACCTTGTCGACCACGAACATGAAGTCTCGAAAGTGTCCTCCCCAGCAATGGCTCATGAGAATCCTCGGCTGCTGTGGTCCTGAGGCCACTAACTCCACCCAGGAGAGCCGTGGAGGGCCTGGACTCTTGCGGAGCTGATGTAGGTGCGTGATGACCTTAGGCTCCAACAAATTGGGTCGGACCTGTTTGGGAGTCGTTTTCTTGTTCCTGAACGGAGCCCTGCCGAGGGCGGAGAGGGGTAGGTGGGGACCTTTCGTGGGACTTGGTGAAAAAGACGAAGAAAGACGTGATGTCAAACCTTATACATATCACGTTATACAGCTTCGAGTGTTTCAATTATCGCAATTATACTAGTTACGCTAGTCGGTGGAGACGGGAGGTTCTCCGAGCTGCATCCTCTGTTGAAAGTGTCACAACTGCAGTGAACCTTCAACCTGCTGGGGTTCGGCATTTGTTTTGCCAGGAATTGTGGTTCTTTTGAAAGTACAAGATTGCGAACATATTTTGTTTTTGTTCGCGCAAGTTGACTTTGCATGCGATGTTTTTTTGTTTCCCAAAAACCCGATCTGAGTGAAACTGCCTGAGGAGCAGGTTTCCGGGTTTGAGACACTGTCCTACGAACCTGCCAAAAGTGTGAAAAACCATGGGTTTCGCCATGCAAAATGACTGACCATCATTTCGTACTGTAAAAACCAATACATTATGAACATGATTGAAAAGGCACACCTTGATAGTCAGCCATTTTTGCTTGTTTTCGAAGTGTTGATGTCTCTTCAGAAGGTGTTGATGTCTCTTTGATGTCTCTTTAGCGGCTTTAGGCTGAGGTCTCACCACGGCTTCAGCAACATGGCTTGCTAGAGGCAACTCACGCATTTGTGACAAACGTCGAGAAAGAACAAACGAAGAAGCCAACAATGTTTGTGAAAGTTGCTTTCCGGCAGTGTGTCTCAACCATGCATCAGCCAACAAACAAAAAACGACATCAAAAAACATGACATGAACCTCTCCGAGACATGAACCCTTCGGAGAACCCCCCGTCTGGAGGGACGCTAGTTATATCAGTTATCCTAGTCCGCCAAACTTTATATTACAGCAGAAATCAGTGTGCCATAGTCTGCCTATGCATACCTCTGCGTATGTATTGAGCCCTGCCAGTAGGACGACACTCATGCAAAAGACGGGGCGAGATCCCGAATGCCAGGTACCTTCGATTTGCGATTTGGGCGAACGGGAAGTCACTAGGTCCTTCACTCAGCTGGAGCTCTCTGCGAGTTGCCGGTCTTAGAGTAAAGAGAAACGCAGGTGACTGGCACCCGGCATCTGAACTTCTTGAGTTCCAAGCTGCTGGTTTCACCACCAACTCGCTGATGTGGTACATATTGATGGTGTGCCAGGGTACGTGCTTGCCATCCTGGCCGCGTTTTGGTTGGTCTACAGGATGAGAAGAACACTGAAAAAACACGAGCATCTCCAGGCCTTGAAAGGGTTAAGCCGTCACACATGAAAAGCTCTGGCTGCACGAAAACGCACGGTTTAGCCTCTTCAAGGTGGGAGAAGTGAACATCGATCTTGACAATCTCACCACTCGCTTCGATAGAAGAACATAAACTGAGCAAATAGGTGTTTTATCCAAGCACTTGATGGCCCAATGGATTGTGACGGATTCTGGCGCTTCTTCAAAGCTGCACCCAAGCGATCCCAACCGATCCCAGTTCCCTCGATCGAACTTGTGAAGCAACGGATGCGACCGGGATGCGACCGGGTAACCCGCGACCACTGGTTGGTCACCCCGACCACCGCGACCACCGCGCACAAACGTGACATACGTACTACCGGGTCGTGAAAGGGTCATGACGTCAACGTCGAGTCAAGTGCTTGGTCCTGCTTCAGCTGCCCGGTGTTGCAGAGACGCTGCAGAAAGAGTCGGAGATCCCGAAGCTGTTGCACTGAAATGCCACGCTCTTCGGGTCGTGCAATGTTCGTCGCGCACGGAGGCCATGGCACTGGCATCGCTGGACGTGTAGTGAAAATAACTTTAGTTGGCCAGACGTTGTTCATTTAGTCGTCTAACGTTGACTGTTGTTACCTGGACGCGTAGTACGCATCTCCATACTGGCTTTGCTTCATCAAGTCAATCGTTGCTTCGTGTGGTCGAGCACGCTCGGCCATGTCTTGTATTGTCAACCACGGCGGTTCCAACCGGCGTCCAAGTAGGCGGTTCCAACTGGCGGTCCATCACGGTCCATACGATAGTTGATTGCTATAAGGACAAATCTGGGTATACGATTGATTTACTTTGATGACGGCTAAGAATTGTACATTGTAGAAGTTTGATGAAGTTTGTACATCACGGAATGTCCAACCACATATGAAATGTCCAACTAACATAAGAATCATGGCTGAAGGTCTTTGCTGCTCGCTGCTCGTCCAAATGGGCGGCGTGTTGGACGGCCACCGGTCCGGCTTCGCGGTCGGATCGCAGGGTCCGCATGGTCGGATCCGCTGGTTTCAACCAGGGGACCCATCAAAGACCTGTCTTTCGTGAAAAGATCTTAAAAGCAGCAGCAACAACGACTACTACTACTACTACTACTAGGTTTTTTCATGTTACAGTGTAACAGACCTCTGTTTCATGGGTTTTCTTGGGCGGCAGCCCATCCCTGATCCTTGCCCTGGAAAGCGAGAACACCCACCTTCGAACTCAGATTTCTTTTCAATTCCTCAAGTTTATAATCGTTTATATACATGAGTTTACCAACCAACCAACCAAACTACTTACCTATACCTACCAAGCAACCAAACTATAAGGACTCAGACCTGACCACCTGGTCAGATCCATCGGACCTCGCCTTCAAATTCTGCGAGCCCTGGATGTGCTGGTCGAGGCCTGGATGTGCTCGAGCTCCGCGCGGGGCACATGGGACCGATAGGACCAGGAGCCACGATGACTCCAGTTCCGTTAGGACCTTAGGACATCAGCTAATAGGTGCTGTTGGGAGCCCCTCTATAGGTGCTGGAGACCATCTATGTCCCGCAAACCGGGCCCTATGCGGTGTAGAGTTGCTCTCGCCAGAATGAGTTCAGATGTCGATCACAAGCCAACGGTGCACAGAGAAACAAACATGTTCGCAAGAGCTATGGACCACATCGCGAAGTCATGCTGCCACACTCTGCCACCCCTGACTCGAGTTGCTAGTTCACTCTATTGCTTTCTATGCGCAACGGGTACGATTGGAGGGCTGATGTGAAGACGTGGTGTAGTGGTGTACCCCCCTTCAGACTAACATGGAGCGGGACCGTGAAAATGGATCCCTGTAGGGTGATTCTCATCTACCACCCGGTGGTTTTCAGGGTCCATGTTAATTTGCTGGAGGGTAATTCTTTTCGGATGATGGTGCGGTTCAGCACAGAATTCGGCAGCACAAGCGACCTGAAATCATGGAATGATGGAACTTGAAAGGTTGACAGGTCTTGTCACTTGGACGGTTTCTTAAGATCTGGATCAGCCTCAAAGCAGTTAGACAAGGCACCTTTACACATGATGGACCGGAGCAAAATAAGCTTAATAACTGTTGATTACACTAAATCACCCCACCATCTGGAGATGTCTTACCATCTAGGATGTTTTATGTTTTTCTTACATCAACCCATCAATCCCGCAGTCAGCACCGCAATCAGCAGCCTTCACAACTGACCAGGGTGACGGGGACCGAAGTGTATCCCCATCCTTGGTTCGACGGATATGGACGGATCACTCCGACTGAAGCGACCCGGTGACCCAGTCTCCACCAGCACTGGGCAGAAATGGTTCTGATGATTTGAACGACTATAGCTCCCTGCGTTCTCGCAGGAAAGTGGATGGCACCGCCTGTTTAGTACAAGGATTTCATGGTCATCTAAGAGGCCATCCAAGTAACCATGATTATTTCAGGAGGCGTCCCGTCCGGGGGACACCTGGAAAAGCTGCAGAAGGGTGCTAGCTGGTGTGGACTTTTGACATCCACTGGTGTAGCTGTTTTCTTGTTCACACCAGCAAGCTCCTAGATCATCCACGCCTTGGCGCCCTTCAAACCATTGATCTCGAGTCTGCCCTTCATCAGACCGGTCACTCTGTTCTTCTCATCCGAACGCCCTAGATCTCGGATCAGCATCAAACTGAAGGTGAAGTAGTAGGAGAGCAGTGTTCTACGCAGCGAGATCTGAACCCCCTCCATGGGACTGAACTCCATACTACGCCGCCCCAGGGGCTGGCGACCCCAAACCACCACCACCCCGTGGCTCTCGGCTGTTTCTCGGCGTCCTATTCCAGGTCCGGAGCGTCCGATCTGACAGCTTGAAAGGAGGTGTTCTAGAGCGATATCAACCTCGCGGCCCGGTGAATGTTGAACAGTACCTGAACTGGACCCTTTTGAACAGTACCTTAACATGCAGTACCTTAACTGTTGAAGGGAAGGTTAACCCCAAATACTGATATACTGATATCAAACCTTATATCATCTTCCAAAAGGATATACTGAACAACCCCCAAAGTGGACCTTTTTGGAATCCCTACCTTCTTCAGTTGTTTTTTCGGTGCCACGAAACGTGGGTCTCGGAACCAGGGAAAAAACGGATGCACAGGTGGAAAGAACTCAGTCTCCCGCCGAGGCTCCGTAAAAGATCTCGGCATATTTCCGCTGGATCTCCCATGTGCCTTCTCCACTTTGAAGCCACTGAAGTAGGCCCTGCTGAAGAGGGAGACGGGCGATCCAAGAGCTTGACAGGTCCCCAGACTGATGGATGCATCCATCGATTCGGAATGTGTTCTCGAAGCGGAAGCCAAAAGACATTTGAGATGACAAAGGTATTCCGAGCTGTAGGCAGGAAGAGGAAAGCTGCAATCTTGGGTTGAAAGGACTCAAAGACACCTCCACTTCCATCATCTTGACACTTATGTACAGTAATTACAGTATCTGATGTTTAAACCTTCCATTTTGTAGAGCGGACATGCACATCACTGCGGATTATTGATTCTGGACTCAACCCTGCCGTAGATACCCTCAAAACACTCCTCAAAACATATCAAAACAATTCAAACCATGACTTTTAACTCAAATTATCTTAAATTAAGATCCTCAATCACCAGTTGCAAACAAATCACTAGGACAATGACCAATTGCCATCCAATTGCCCTCCTTGCGCCCCAGCCAAGACTTCCCAGGTTTTGCCGCGAGACTCCATCGATCAGAACCGAACGCCCGGCACGTTCCGGTTCACGCCCAAGGGACGTCCGTGGGCACGTGGGCTTCCACGGCAGCCTCCAGGAGCATGGCATGGTCCGCCAGGCATCGACCTTCCGTGAAGTACTTGCCTCGGCTGGCGTCGCTTTCGACGTCCGGGCGCTGAAGAGACGGGTGGGAGTGAACAGACGGGGTGAAGAGACGGTCGGGTGGGCGCGGAGACGGAAGACCACCCCCATTCGCTCTCCCCACTTGCAAAGGATTGGTTCAAGGGGGCGAGGGCCAGGCGCACGGCACATACGACAGAAGGAGGTGTTGGGAGGTCCCGTCTGCTTCCTGCTCCATGGCACGTAGTTGGTGTCCATCCTGATTGCCACCAAAGCCATGCTAGACCCCACGGTGTGGAATTCAGGGGATGGCATTAATTGCTTGATGTTGTCGTGCCGTCCGGTCTCATCGATCGTCCATCTCGAAGAAGTGCCGGGTGGCGGGAGACCACCTCGAAGAAGTCTTCGCGCACGTTTGCACTCTGCTCCCTTTGAACCTGGTGTCTCCATCGATCCAACGTGGATGAACAGACTTGCCTTTTTGCTCTGCAACCTAACCACCTTTAGCAAAGGATAGTGTGCAAAGAGTATTATACAATACTATACTTACAGGATTCACAACACATCAAAACAATCTGGAAATATCCATGCTGCCTCTTCTACAAGCGTTCCATGATATTCCATGATATTCCATGCAGACATGAAATGGCATGAACACATTTGCTTCAACATCTCTACAAGGCCGATTTCTGCTTGATGAGACACAACATCGTTCAAAAGCTATGCAGACTTTACCAACAGAGACAAACACATTATATAAAAAGACGGTTCGACTCAAATGAGGGATTTGACATTCTTGGATTGGCAACACCGTCGCAATGCTGGCTTCCCCCCCACTTGCAGGTTGGCTTGAAGTTCACCTTTGACGACCTGCTGGACGTTCCAGTTCCCTGTCGATGTCGATCCTGTCCACACTCCCGCCGGCTTACGGACGTCAACCCGCGCTACCGCGCTATGGAGAGGTGGACCACGCCTTCATCAGCAAACGCAAGGCATCCATGGAGTTGCCTGGAGAAGAGCTATAGCAGCAAACCAGGTCTGGTTCGAGCCGCGAAGGTGAATGATGCGTCGACGGCTTCTTTTGCGCCCAAATGAGCATGCAAAGTCATGCGAATGCTTCGTCATCTATGCAGTCTTGCAGTGCCAAGCTGCTCATGTGTTGATCAAAGGTGAACTTCAAACCAACCTGCAAGTGGGGGGAAGCCAACATTGTGACGGTGTTGCCAATCCAAGAATGTCAAATCCCTCATTTGAGTCGAACCGTCTTTTTATATAATGTGTTTTTCTCTGTTGGTAAAGTCTGCATAGCTTTTGAACGATGTTGTGTCTCATCAAGCAGGTCGGTAAAATAAACAAACATTTGGCTACCAAACGTAGCTCACCCGCATTTCTCAAAGTGCTGAAAACACTTAAAATAAATCACACCTTGGCTTGAACATGCACGAAGACCAGACTGCGACGATGGATCAACATGGGGCGATGATTCAAAGGTGCGAAGACCAGTGCCCAGCGGTTGATCCAAATGGTGCGAGGCAAAACTCTTCTCATAGCTAGGGTCTTGACCCTCACAACTAGGGTTTTGGACCTCGAACATCTAGCAGTTTGAGGGTCCATGAGCCTCTGGGAAGAAGACCTCTCTCCTTTCCAATGTTGAATCTTCCCGAGGATCCGTTGACGATGGTCCGGACGATTGGAGGGACCTCCCTGATTCATGTGCCGACTCTGGATTCAGACCCCCCGATTTCCAGGGCCCGGAGACGAGGTCAAACCAAATGGTTTTGTGAATCAAGAGTCTACAGTACAGACTCCCAACAGAGGTTGAAGGACCCGAACTAGGCTATCCCAGTTGGGTACCCCCCCGGTGACGGGTCCTATTTACGGTCACTTACACTCTGGAAAATTAACATGGAACCTGAAAACCACTGAGTTGTAGAGGAAAATCGTCTTCCAGTCAGGTGCATTTTCAGGTTCCATGTTAATCTCTTGGTCCCTGAAAAATCATCATGGTCGTTACGTGGATTGCATGGCCCCCGAAGACGATTTCGCTCGCTGTGGAGCACGAGCTATCCGAGGACCAAATAGCTGGTGCCATCCACGGTCCAGCACGTGGAGCTTGAGACACATCCAAACGAGTGTGTATAGACCAGTCTACCCAGCCAAGGGCGAGATTTCGGGTGTCTCCCGACTGAAACATTCTGCGTGGTTTCAGAGTCAATGGCACAATCCGCAAGTGAAGACGGGCGGTTTATGAACCCTCATTATAAAAGACATCTTGGGGTGCCAATGCTACAATTGTCCACTGCTTCCCCTCTTCCCCTCTTCTCGACAGGGTGAGCTCCGATCCTGGCCCAGTTCAGCGATTCAGCGCTTCAGCCGATGAGTGCAGCCATCCGTGTCTTCTGTCGAGTACCCATTACTTCTACCTCGATCTATCACCATATTTGCAGTGCCTCTTTTTCCGTGGCATGGATTGCAGGTATGGTCATTTGGTTTATTGTTGTGCTGGTTTCCTGGATGGTTTCTGGATGTCTCCTCCAACAAATCCTGAAACTTCACCAATTTGCCTCTGAGGCTTGCCAGCTGATGCCCACTCTGGCATCCGGCGCTTGATTCTCTCCACCAAACTTCTCGGGATATTTCCTGGAGACGTGTTTTGGACATGGGGCTTTGGGGTGAGAGTGAAATTTACTTTGAGCATGCCTTAGTTTCTTAATGCTCAGCCTGGTCAGCTCTTCCCAAATGTCTTCAAAGAAAAGGAAAGGTATCGTAGACAATGATATAATGTTATAGTTAGATATATATATATTATAAATATAACGAAGTATATACATATAATCCTAAACAAATATATACAAATATATTCATTACACGTTAAACATGGATTCACTTTCGATTTTGGCATCTACAGTTTGTGTTGGCCATTTTCTAGATCTTCGCAGTTGACTTGGAGCTCAGCCCCAATGCGTTAGCCCGAGACTCTTGGTGTAGCGATCCATTTGCTGCCCCCAGGTACCAGGGGATTCTGAGATCTGCCAAGTCCTGTGACTGACGCGGCTAGCGGCTAGCCGCAAGCAAGACATGTGAAAGGCATGGCAAGTGGATTCAACATGATTCTAATCCTGCCACATGTAGCTGGGTTGCTGCAGCTGCTCTTTTTTTTCTCAAGCTACCTTTTTGGTGGGTCCTCTCATCTTTGGTGTCACCCAATGTCTTGTTGATGCCCGGCAGCCTTGGGTTTACAACCTGCCTTGGAGACCGGAGAACAACTCCAGCTCACCTCCATCATAATTCCAAATAGCCTGTTCTCATGAGCCTTGCCGTGGAAAACCGCATGCTTGTAGAGGAGAAGATTCTCTTGAATTTGCAACTTGCTTGGCTGGGCTTTGCTTTAGTTCCCTGGCATGTGCATGTCATGAATATTCCTCTTCTTATCACAGACAAGGATCTCTGAAGAAAATGCCTCAAAAGCATTCAAAAGCGCCAAGCAGCTCTGGCCGCAGGAAGAAAGGCAGCCGCGTCACAGAAAAATCCATGGGTTCATCTGCCAGCATCTCCTGGAAGTCAAATGTTTGGATGGACTCCAGAAATTGCCTCATGAAACGAGACTCATCTAGGACTAGTCACGGACTTTGAGTGAAGACTCCAGAAATCGCTTCTGTTCACCCAAATCCTCTTCTCCATCCGATTCCGAGAAGGGCCGAGCGTTCGCAAGCGACGGACCCGAGCGAACCTCCTTTTAGCCACGGGACCCTTAAGCGGTGCGGTACCCGGGCGATCCCGAAGTCCCCGGCCGGATCCACGGGACCTTCTCTTTCTCCGGCCTCCACGGAGTCGGAGCGACCGGTGCCGGGCGAGCTCCGGTGCCATGGCGTTGGGTCTTGTCGGCCCCGAAGGGAGGAAGCCAAAGCAGGCCCTTCATGTGACTCTTAGAACTGGCCGAAGTCGTCGCTTTTTGGGTTCGTTTTGGCCAACCCCCCAAAAAATGACGGGCCCAAACCGCTGCAAACGCGCGCACGGAGCGCGAACGTCACCCGGCTCCATGGCCCTCTGGAGCCATCGATGCTGGATCCATCCATGAGGTCAGGCGAAATCGGAGAGCACACAGATCTGCACCTGAAAACGTTCGCCCCAACACGCGCGGGCGAATGGGCTTCGAGCGGTTCGATTCGGAATCCCGGTGCACTCTGCGGAGGGCGAGCAAAAGCCGCAGTGGGACTTCGAGGGGTACTGGATGAGCTGGGCGGTTGGGATGAGCCGGGCGGTTGGGATGCGAAGTTGGGCATCTACAGAGAAATGCACTGACAAAACTGTGGTCCTGACACTGCATGGGACTACATTGGGGTGGTTCTACTTTGTTTTATTGGTCAATGCACGTTCCACGCATGGAGTGTCTTTTGGTGGTGATTTAGCAAGAACACCGGCCACAAACACTTGGACTCTTTGTCGACTTAGTCAACTGCTCCTGGAGTCTACCCTGGTCGAACAAAGAACATCCGAGGTCTGCGGCTGAGGAGGTCGTCTCACCGTTGTCTGCCAAGTCTCGCGCAGGCGCTGTCTGCACTTCTTCTTGTGCTCCTGGTGCGCTTGATGCATTCATTGACTGACCAGGCCCAAGGAGATGGAAACTTTTGCGTTGTTTGCGGCGTAATGGAAGAATCACATCAATCACATCATCTAAAAAACAATAGCCCGGATAGCCCTGATGAAGCTTGCCGACTTTCCATAGTCGTGCCATCTGCATCGGTCAATGTTCGGTCAACGCTAAGCTGGTTCCTGCCACTCGTGGTCCATACCATTCGACCTCAAGTTTCCACATCACATCTGTGGTCTTACGTACCTGCCAGTTCCTCCTCAAACCATTCCAATGGTGGAGCAATTGAAGCATCCCTTCTCAACTTGCCAGAGTGCATTGGTTGCATTTTTTAAGGTAAGAACGTAATATCCGATCTTGAACCCCCACAAAATTGATGATCCTGAATGCCGTAGAGGTGGAGTTCTGCATCACATCCGTACTCCCTTGTTCTTCGCTTTGATTTCCCTCAACCCATGATGGTTTCATCCAGGTCGTCAAGGATCAATTAGGTGGTCTCTTCATCACTCAGAAAGGTAGCACCGAGTTGGCCTCGAGATTGTTTGGCCAAAGGTATGCAAAGGATGACAACACAACCTTCAGAAATACGTAGCTTTGAACCATTGACAAAGACCTAAGGGTTCCTCATTCCACATTTTTTTGTGTTTCATCTACCTTTCTAGTTACTAGCAACTCCCCGACCTTTCTTCAAGGACCTACATCAGCGAGGATTCTCCCCTACTTGTTCGGGCAGTCGATTGTCACTGCGCTGTCCTTCCAATGGCTCTTCTGGCATTCTGGGGAGCAATAGCGGACACTTTTGCAGGTGCCGCACCTCGGGTCTTTCAACTGAGGCGCCAATCATCCAGAAGTAACAGAAGGTGCTCCCCGGGAGTTGATCAGAACCTAAAGCTAGACTGCTTTTGATTGTTCTTCACCTGCCAGGTGAGGGTTGTTAGGTTAAGCTCTATCAGAGCTCGTCTTTCCTTCCTTCCTTCCTTCCTTCCTTCCTGCCTGCCTGCCTGCCTTCCTGCCTTCCTGCCTTCCTGCCTTCCTACCTTCCTGCCTTCCTTCCTTCCTTCCTTCCTCCCTTCCTCCTCCGCCTCCTCACCACCACGACTGCAAGCGCCAGATCGCAGCGAACAGTGTCGGACCTCAACCGCAAGTGCCAGATCGCAGTGAGCACTACCGGACCTCAACCGCGCAAGCACCAGATCGCAGTGGGCACTACCGTACCTCAACCGCAAGCGCCGGATCGCAGTGGGCACTACCGGACCTCAACGTACCCACAAACACACAAGAGACAATACACAGCCAACAAAGCACAACCACAATACACAAACACAAAACACCACCACAAACAGACCAACCACAAACACAATCACAAGCACACAACCACAAACACAAAATCACAAACACACAATCCCAAACACGCAGCCACAAACGCAAAATCACAAACACAACCACAAACGTGCACTCGGTAATGGACTGCTTTGACACCATCAGGACCTGGCTCTATCTGCAATTCACTTTCCCGGTGACAAGGTGCAATCATCAGGTCTTTGCCTTCGGCCACTAGCACCATCATAGCAGCTGTCATGTCCGCAGGTATAGTTGGCCATTCACGCCTCTGATGCAACCAGGACCCATCAACGTCCCTGATTCTTTCGCCTATGCTGCCACGCGAACTCGGCTATGACAGTGCCTCTCCAATATTGCCATGGCATGTTTCCCCAGGAGGCACCCCAACTGCAAATATGTTGTTGCCAAGTGCACTCGGTGCGGTGCACTCGGTGCGCTGGTTCTCGAGTAGCGTCAGTCGCTGATCGCCGCCGCAACGAACAAACACACAGTCACAAACACAAGCACAACACACAACCGCAACACACAACCGCAAACACTCAACACCAAACACTCAACCACAAACACTCAACCACAAACACTCAACCACAAGCACTCAACCACAAGCACACAACCACAAACACACAACCACAAACACAAAAGCACAAACAAACCCACAATCACTGACACACAGCCACAACACACAACCACAACACAACCACAAACACAGCACAGAAACACAGCACAGAACCACAACACACAACCACAACACACAACCACAGCACGCAGCCACAAACCACAACCACAACACTCAAACATGACACAGAACCACAACACACAACCACAGCTCACAGCCACAACACACAGCCACAACACTCAAACACAACTATAAAGACGCAACCACAAACACACAACTACAGCAATACAATTATGTGATTACCTGTGTGTGTGTGTGGCGTTTTGCGTGACAGGTGGTCACAGGGTAGCACTTTTGGATGCAAACTGGAGACCCTGGCGACACCCCGACGCGAACTCCCTACTAAAGTAACGATCCCAAACCCGAGGACACACAAGCACAATTGAAAACCACAGAACTCACGACCATGGCAAGATGCTCCTCACCATGGCATGACAACAATGGATGGAAATGTCATGGTGGGGATCACTCAAAGTGAAGTAATTTACAAATTACATTGCTGAAATGCATATTTACTATATTATCTTGGCCATCTTCCTGCTCACTGATTCTTCCACTAATTCAAAAACAATTCCTGTGTCTGTATGGTGCCCCAAGCCTATTTCAAGCCTCTATGTCTTGCTACTCTCCGCCCAAGCCACTGAAATGGCTGCGCCGCGGCTGTTCCACAGGCTCTGCAGCTCCCGGTGCCCTTCCTGCCGCCGGCCGCGTTGCCCCAGCGCTGCCGGCGGAGATCGAGGAGTTCCTGCTGGCTTCAAACGGGGCACGGTTTGATGGCATGAGCTTTGAAGGTGTTGGTGGCTGGATGTAGGGCCAGATCGCAGGGTTTAGTTACTACATCAGGAGTTTAGTTACTATATCAGGACTTGAACGCAGAATGTGCTCAACAGCAGCTGGTACCAGATCTCTCAAGAGCTGCATGATTCCGTTCGGCCTCGATCTCCTCTTGTGTGGCCTAGGCCATTGTGGTCGACGGAACAACCGAGACCCCTCCAGCTGCTGTAGAACTCCCTCATCAGGGTCCCCATTTTCCAGATTCGTTTCGCACATCTTCAGGCTTGGCGGGGGTTCAAAAATCGAGTGTCTACATGTTACCTCAAAAGCGAGATGATGAAACGATGTCCAAACTTCACGTTGCTCCCAAACATGCCACCGGTCAAAGGAGCTCATCTCCGTAGCCTGTAGCACTCGCACCAAAAACCGCTCAAACTCATTTGGGATGATCCCTCGTTAGCACGATGTATCAACATATGACATGCGTACATACCTAGATCTTCCAACTATTTCTGCCTTTTGGCTGGTTTCATGGATGGAAAGGTAGACATTTTGCATAGTAAAATATTGTGTTTCCAGCAGTCTCACTTATTACAACCATGAACGCGACGGGTTGATCTCGCTCCGGGTAGCAGTAAAAGAATATATATGCTGAGTATATGTATATATATATACCAGTATAAGTACCAGTATATATATACTACATATATATACCAGTCAGTATATATACTCACTCGCTGGAACAATCATGGAAGTCGATGGCATGGCCCCTTGCATGACCATTTTCCGAATGCCAAACAGGTGGTGGTGCCATCCACTTCCTATGATGATGCCAAACATTATATATGTCTTGAGGTCAAGGCCTCTTACACTTCTTGCTACCTGGTTATGCTACCTTGCCATTTTACTTGCAGAAGGGAGACCCAAAATGCACAGCTGTATCGCGGCCGGGTGCTACTTCTTGCTTCGATTCCCTCGACACCCCCAACTCCCAGCTCCCACCCTCCAGTGTGGAACTGGCGCCTTGGAGCCCTTGGCCAAGAGCTCCTCCTCTCTTGCCTGCGCCACCGACAGGCCAGAGCGCCCGCACCGACAGTCATGTCTTCGACTCTTTGCTAGGGGCAAAATGAGCTAACAGTCAAGGAGCACCGGACGTTGGACATGTTCAAGGACCCTTTTTAAAAAACAGGGTCAAGTCTAAGAGTCTAGTCTAAGACGATCTTTGTTTGGGCAAGGGAAAGGTTTGCCTTTGGTTTGTTTTGCTGTGCTTCGTTACTCTGGTGGGGCTTTGAAGCGCCGGCTGTGGATTCAGGCAGGCAAAAAAGGGTCAACTCAACTCAAGACGATGTTTTGACACGCTTTGACAAGGTCACCCCCTGTCGCAACCCTTCAAGCAGATCTTCTATATACATTATATAATCTAGAATCGAACCTGAGTGACCTCCATTTTGAACCACCTAAATATGTTTTTTTCCTATGAAAGCAGGGGTCAACATGGGTCAACGGGGTTCTAGGATGTTCAAAGACTTTTTGGGTCACCAAATGTCAGGTTCCCACAGGTGGCCATGGTGGCGCCTCCCCCACCCAACGATGGCGGCTACGTTGGCCCAAGAACTGCTCTCTCGTTTGGGGGTGGTCAACTCAAGAACTACGTACCAGAGTCGATCCAGTGACACCCAGTTCAACCCTTGGAAGAACAGCGCCATCTCGAACATCTCTTCATGGTCAAAGCACTGGGGTGTCTGTCAGCTGTCCGGCGCGTTCTCCACTCGAACTGGGCAGGTTCCCCCGTTTTCTTTCACGGCACCGTTTTGGCAGCTGCCTGCGGGATGGGAGGACCTCGCTTCTCTGGCGCCTGGGGTCGTCCGTCGGTGACAGGTCCGTCGGTCCGCCGGTGGTTTTTGAGGTGTTGGGCTGTCGCGGATGGCACCAGCTGTTTGGCATTAGAGGAATTACACAGATAACACATGGGTCTTTCCAGGGGTCATGCGGCCATGCCATCTACTTTCATGATGGTTGGAGTGTTCACAATATGTTCACATGGAGTCCATTCAGTGTCTTGAAGATCAAACGAGCGGCCAACTGGACCTTTTGCAACTGCTCCACATATCCTTGCTTCTTCTTAGGGTCCATCTTGCTGAAGGCCATGTCCAGCACCTGATGGGGGGCTTTCCCACTCGGAGCGGAGCCCGAGTGGGTGGGCCAAACGACCGCCCGATGCGAAGCAAAGCTGTCATCCATTTAGTGTCCCATCCGGGATCCAGTCGTACCTGGTCAGGTACGGTGATTGGAGACTGGCGCCAGGGCCCAGTCGTACTTTCTGAGAAGGTGGCAGTGGATCCCTAGGGTGATCAGGTTTTTAAGAACCCATCTCACCAGGGACGGTCATGGCACCGAGATCTCGACATCTTGGGCCTCTGAAACGTTCTCCGCGGCCTCACATGATTCGGATGAACCACTCCAAGACCAGGCGCCACGGCCACCCTCTCGCGGTTCCGAAGACTTTCGGGACGAAGACGGCGCCACCCTCCCACCGCCCCACCGCCTCCGTCCCCTGTCGTCCCCCACCTCTCGCGCCGTGGAGTCCTCCTCATCTTCGAAGTCCGCCGGGTCCACCACTTCGCCCGCCTCCCAAACGGAGCACCGCACGAAAGCACGGAAGGACGGGGGGGCGGGGTTCCCGCACGAAGCTGTGGGAACCGCGCGGTGAGTAGAAGGTGCGCGAGCTGAACCAGTCTGCCCAAACGCTCCGTGAAAACAGCCCAACTGTCCCTACCCTAAGGATCATTGGACCCTCCGAAGTGGAGGGTGACCTGACCCTGCAGGTTCCGCAGGGGGCCCTTGGACCCGAACCAAACCTGCACCGAACGGGTCGGGTCCTTGATCCGGTAGGGTAGGGATGGATTGCTTCGACCCCCGTTCTACCCCTGACCCGTTCGGATTCAGGGCCTAGTTCGGGTCGCCTCTGGGTGAATGGATAATAGCATGGCCCTCTGGGCGTCTGAACAGGTTGGCCAAATGGTGTACCTCTGAGGCGATTGTGCTGGTGCTTGTCGCTGACAAAGCAGCGATTCTGTTTTCGAAGGTCCATCAAAAGGCGATCAAAAGCCCTCGCGTCCTTCCCGGTCCTTCCGTCCAATAAGCAATATGTGGGACTAAGGATCAGCGCCGGATTGAGCGCACACGTGTGGGACGATGGATCCAGAATTGCACCGTCCAAATGGATTTGAAACAGCAAACAGCTGCTGATTCTCATTCAACACGCATTTTATGGTCCAGAATCATAAAGTCAAGACCATGTTTATATCCATTGCTGCTACCAGACCCTGGCCTTATCCCAGTCAAGCGGAGCCATGACAGAAAAGAAAATGAAGAAATACAGCAGACCTGCTTAACTTTGTTGTACTTCTGAGTAACCAGAAAGTGCTAAGTGTGCGCTGTCTTGTTTTCTGCGATGTCTTGTCTTGTCCTCACAACCCCTGCACGGTCAATGTGTTTCTGTTGTAGTGCGTAGACATGTAAGTCGGCAACTTGTGGATCTTAATGCAGAGAGCGGATCGAACGCTTCAGTGACCTGTGACCTTGCAAATTGACTGTCAAACAGCTTTGAGGCCCAAACACCTGCTTGGATAGCGAATGGCATGGCGGGCTCTGCTGGGTTTCCCTGAAATGAGGTGGAACAAACAACCACCAAACGGGCCCTCACAACTCATGCAGGCGGAACGGCGGAACATGCTTTCCGGGAGTGAGGACTTGATCCTTTACAGTCTTCCACACTCTTCCACTCAATACTATGCCCTGCGTATTATAGTGGGCAACTTGATACTGTATAATCGGGCTGGGGCTCAAAAGAACAAAACTAAAACCAATATCGATCTATATATAGTATATATACTGCATCTGCAGAGTACATGGTGCATATGTATATAGGCGAAATGCCTAGGTCTTTAATATTGAGCACTTCACCCATCTTTTGTCTACGTCTACTGTGTCCTATAATAGACGACTACTGCTCATCCACTCGCCTCTCGGACGCGCAAGCGCGCAAAGGCCGTCAAGATCTCGGCCAGTTGACCTCCGAAACCCCAACTCCCCGCGCCCGGCACCCAGAACCGGCGTGTTGTTGGGCCGTTGATTCCTCCGACCGACGGCTGCACCCAGCTGGCTGGGGCGGCAAAGAAAGGGTTCGAGAATGGAATTGACACATGTCGAATCCTGTTGAAACAGGTTGGACATGGTTGAAATAGACGGCAGCTCAAAGGATTGACCAACTAAGAGAGGTTGAAGGATTTCTCTTCAGTGTGCGTTCACGGAAGCAGATCTAGATCCGGTCTTTTTCCGGTCGCGTCAGCGGAAGAAGGTCCATTTACAGGAACCCCGGCGGATGGAATAGTGCCGAATCTCCATGGAGATCAACCTGAGGCTGGTGCCAGAAGAGGTGGCTCTGCCAGTATGCCATGGTTGTGAACAATGACCCAACAGGAATTGCTGCGCAAACTGAGGAGGAGTGAAACATAGTGAAACTGCGCCCCTGCGATCGTGAAAATCCAATTTCATGTCTTGAAGAGCTGTGGAGACCAATACGCTCCGACCATCATGGAAGCTGAGCAGAAGCCCTATAAAGACAAGTGGTCTATGTCATGTTCCACTTCCACATTCCTTTTCATCCTTTTCTGGTTCCAACTGAACTCTTCTCACTTGGCAAGCATGGGAAGGACATGAAAACCGCTTTGGGCTGGGTCCTCTCCCCATATCCATTTCCCTAACCTAAGGCATCTCAGACAGAGTCAAAACCTCTGAAAACCAACACACACGTGCGCATCCCAAAATGTGCTCCGCTCCCCTCGCTCCCCTCGGACGCGCGCACGGACAAAAACGGCTCCCCTCACCCCACCTGCGCCTCACCCTCCCGGGTCTCCGGGCCCCGCCATCGCGAGCAGCGACGCTTCATCCTGCTCCTGCTCGCGAGCGCGCGTTCGGCACCGAAGCGGCGCGGTTCCGTATTTGATCCACTTGATGATGAAAAGAAGTGAACCTCCCCACGTGAAGACGTGCTTCAATCCGAATGGAGGGGTTATTGATGAAGAGTGTACTAATTACTTTTAAAGGTGGCAAAGGTCACAGGCTTGGTCTTTGGCTGGGATTGTACCAGATGCATCCACCAATGCCATGTGATCGCAGCACTGCCATGTGGTCAGCCGCGTCGCGGCAAGTTTCGCGCGCGTGGCCGGAGCGGCGTCAGCCGGCATCAGCCGCTCCTTCAGTCGCCCCAAAGCTGTACACGCGCCGACCACATCTTTGGGACCAAACTGGTCCAAGTGCTTCGGCAAATACCTCCGAGGGGTCCAGTCCAGCGGGTCCAGCGGAGCGTCCTAGGCTGGTCGAAAGCACCGACAAAAACCGGTGGCCGCGATAGCATCAAAAAAAAGAGAGATCGACAACAAATCCGCCATGATGTCCGTGAAGTTCTCCCCAATGCCCATTCGTGTCCCCGGAAATGACGAAGATTGACATGGGAGCTGCCAAAACAATGGGATTGTGGATCAGTTTTGTGCGTGGAGCCCTTGGTTTGAGTTCTATATGGTTCTATGTGGTTCCTTCAGAAGGCCAGCACTGGCCATGACAAGAGCATCCTCTGTACCCAGCAGACTTGAGCAGTGACACGTAAAATGTCGGTAGTTCATACAGAGTCATACGGTGTGTGTTTCATGTGGTGGTGCACTGGTGCACTATACGCTCCAAGACTCTTGGCTCAAATCTCAAGTATAGGCTATAGTGGTTTATCCATAGGACTTTCACACAAATATAGTCTTTGAAGATTTGAGCCTGGTATTCTGAGGAGGGTAACTCGGATTTTGGGTATATCCCATTGCCAGGGCCCAGTGGATGATGCTGGGGCCTGGTTGCAGGCCTTGTTCACAAACACCAATGTTTCTTGTGAAAACCGACTGTTATGGGTAATGGGACAGAACAAGTTGGGTCACTGGGCGAACGCTTCACAAAGCTCATAGTGTTCGAGGCCTCAGTGTCGCATGTCGGTTCAGCTGCCGCGCAGAGGAAAAACCATGGTGTGAAAAAAGAAACCGTTCAAAAGCAAAAATCTATGTTTGTTCAAACAAAAAACGAGTGAAAAAGAGACTGGAAGTTGAAATGATCAGAGATCGCCTGCGACTTCGAAACCAGATTGCCTAGGCCGTTCAAACTTACACCTTGGGACCCTGTCAACTCGAACATGAGCGAGCCGCTCGTACAAAGCTCGAAGCTTCATTGAGTACTCTTATTATATGGTTTTCAGCTTGTGGAACATGTATCCGTGTTAATGGTTTCAGATTTGCCAACCACAGTGGTTTCAGTGGTTTCTTTGGGGATTGTCACATTGTCCCAACTATGTACTCTGAAACCACTGTGTAACAGATACAGTATCTCAATCTATCACGGCTTATTCAACGTGCTTGTCACTGAGTCAGAGATCTAAAGCCTTCAAAGATTGAAAGGCCTTTCCAACTGCCATAGTGTATCTGCTACTGCCTCCAATTACGTATCAATTGTCTGGTCTATCTGCGCACCAACCATGCGCAAATTGTTGGCCGAAATGTTGCAAGAACATCTCCTGTCTTGGCTGTAACTTATTCGACAAGCTATCACCATTTCGTTGGACGTCATGCTTTTGGGACGGGTTCGTGATTCCTCTTGGCTTCGCAATGCTTCACAGACTTCAGTTGCTTCGTAACGGAAACACCTCTCAACTTCACACTTCTTTCGTCTTTCTCTGTGGCTCGGTCTTCCCCCCTCCCCAAAAACCCGACGTTGACTGTGGGAGGACCATCTGAAAGCGACCTGCCGACTCGACGGAGCGACTCCACGGAGTCACTCGACGCCCATCGGCTAGCCCAGCGGCGCAAGCGGCCCAAGGCATCCAAGGCGTTGGCAGCATCCCTGGGGCTGGCCTGCTGGCGGCTCGTTTGAGCTGCGTGTACTCAGGGAGCCAAGGGCGGTGCACCATTTCGTGTGAGTCAAGGGAGCCAAGCGGTGCATGAAAAACCAAAACACAAAGGCAGCCCCCAGGCTGAAGATGTCCAGGTTTTATCTTTCGAACGCATATCTTTTGATGACTTTAAAGGGTATTCAGATGTATTCAGATCCGTGGTCCGCTGTTCCCCGTGGTCCGCTGTTCCCTTGAGACGTCGAAAGAGTTTGTCGTGCGTCTGGAGTCGCATTCTGGTGCTATGTGCATCACATCTACTCGTTGCCAAAGAGCGGTTGGATGGCACAGAAGTACATGGACCCAATTTCCAAAGAGCGCTTTTCAGAGTAGATGGCACAATCCCCAATGTCAGTGTTTTTTTTATGTGGGGACATCTTGGGGACATCGTGCCATCTACTCTCAAACCACTGGTCCCTCTGCCGACCACTTCAGGTACTGCAAACGCCATGCATTCGCATACGCCTGTGAGTTCACACAAATCACTTCGTTCACGGTCGAAAGCATGGATCTTCGGGTCATCTCTTCAATGCCCATGACATTCTCATGAGGTCGGATGTCTCCTTCCCTCACTCCAAAAAAAAAGAGAGGTAATCTCCTCCCCTCACTCCGTTTGGAGACCCGCTGCATTTTCCTTTTGTGACTCACCGAAGTCGGGGCTGCTCCCTTGTGAGTCTCTGTCCTTTTTGTCTCAATGTTGGGGGGCCTCCTCATTGAATATCGTCAGATTTCTTGAGGGAGCAACCCTGATATGGTGCAAGAATCTGAATTACTGTATGTACAGCGAGGATTTGCGGAATGATTCCAGAACAGAAAGGAGCTCCTCTCAAGTCGCCTTCTCTCATTCCGCAGAACCCCCGAACTCGCTGGCGAGTCCACACCGAACTCCGAAATACTGCACCAGCCTCAGGCTTCTCTCAATTCGCGACGTGGCTCTCCAGTCGGCTTCCCAAGGCGACTGAAGTTCAAAGTCATCTGATGCTCAACCTGAGGTGGAAGGTGGATCGAAGTGATCGATGGGTTCAGTAGCGAATCGATATAGCCGGTTCTTTCAAAGAGGTTGGCTGCTACCCGTTGATCAAAAGGGGTGCGAAAACAACAAGGACAACATGGTGGGAAGTACATATTAGAAATAATATTAGATACTTAGTAGAAGGGCGTTCCCACTCTGAAGGGCTTTGCAGATCTTTGGGATTTTACATCTCCAGTCCTGGGGAGGTTGAAACATCATCAACAGTCTTGTTTAGTATTTGGAAAATGGCCATGCAAGGGGTCATGCCATCCACTTCCATGATAATTTCTGAGGATGTAAAATGGTGTAAATAAGTACGATCATGATGTAAGACAATGATCAGGATGCTCCACTCTGCAGG